GTCATAGGGCCGATCGGTAACTATGACAACAACAATTAACACATATTTACTATATACAAATACGTACCGATAGCTGTCGGTAACTTACCGATACCGACGATTTTACAGAATAGCGCCCCTGGCCTTTATGCTTTGCGGAACGTTTTCGATGGGACACCCTGTATGTAAGATAACACACTAGTACCATAAATAACTGTTATTTTTTTATGTCATTAAAAACAACAAAGATACTAATATTTTACAAATAAAAGCGCAACAATGTTACTCTAAAAATAATTATTTAGACTAATGGAGTAACTGATATTATTTTTTTTAAACAGAAAATATTTCTGAAACGAATATTATTAAAAGCACACAATTTATTACCGTAGCAAATTTTGTAATTATTTACCCACCTAAAAACAGACCCATCCCTGAATATTTAACAAGAAAATTTCCTCCTCAAAGAAGATTTGTTTAATTTAATTCACCGCTATTGACCGACAGCGAAGAAAGAACCATTTTCTCTCAAACTTCGTTTACAAAATAAGGCAAGGAATAGCGAGACGAGAGTTCTTTGGCTTACTGTGTAAAATTAGAGTCGTTTAAACGGGGGCACAGCCAGTTTTTAGGTCAGCGCTATCTAATGGGGGGATTACTTACTAGTTTAGAGCGGAGCATATGGCCGGACTTGTTTCTGAGATTATGGTAAGCATGCTTCTTTATGTGCGTTGCTTTCGTTCCTCTTCACTAATGCTTTATTAAGGACTCTAAAATTGTTTTGATTGGATTTCGTGGATTTTCCGTCCACTGGAATAAAAAAATCTACAAAATAATAGTATATTGTTTTATTAATAGTAAAAATGACACTTATTATGACAAAGCTGTACGTTTGACATACAGCCGGTGCATAAAATAGCTATTTATGTAACAAGTTGCGAAATGAATGTGTTTTAAGGACGGGACGCCAAATTGTCAATCAAACTGGACAATGCTTAACCGGCGACTGCTTGAAACACTCTTTTCGCAACGTATTTCATACAAGATTTTTTGTGAAAGCGGGTAATTTGAGATTTTCATGCTATTATTATTATTTATTTTTAAACATTTTTTAAAACGTTCTGGTAATCGGTTTCTAAGCCATTGTTTATGCATTGTTTAATGACAAAGTTCTGTCAGGTTCAAGCGTCGCCGTATCTCCTACAAAGTTTTGTAAAAAAATGAGTGATAATGACGAGTCTTTGGATATTCAACAAGCTGCTGAAACTGCTTTATCCACTTTAGTGCCAGAGAAGTCAAAAAACTTATACGAGACCACCTACAACAACTTTGAAACCTGGGTCAAAGAAAAACATATTGATAATTTCACAGAACAGGTATTGCTAGCCTATTTCCTGAAGTTATTCACTACCTTAAAGCCGTCAACTCTGTGGAGTAAATATTCGATGCTCCACATCATAATTTACCTGAACAGAAACGTAGATATTAGCAAATTCACAAACCTTATTGCATTTTTAAAAAGAAAAGCTTCCGGATATCAGGCAAAGAAATCAAAAGTATTTACAAAACTAGAAATACAACGCTTTGTGAAAGAAGCCGATGACAAAGAATTCTTGTTAGCCAAAGTTATCTAATCGTTGGAGTATTTGGAGCATCTAGGAGGGAAGAAATCACGTTTTTGACCGTAGATGTCATTAAAGATTGTCAATCATTTATTAGTCTGAAGATTCCGAATACAAAAACTCATTTTCCAAGAGATTTCTGAGGGACCAATAGACGGTATCAATTTCTTACATGTATTTCGTAAGGACGCAAAACTTCGACCACTAAATGTGACACATCAACGATTTTTCTTGATGTATAGAAAAAATCAATGCTGTACCTTGCCAGTTGGGATCAATACAATTGGAGGTATACCAAAAAAGATAGCGGAATTTCTTGGACTCTCCAACGCCATTGAATACACTGGTCATTGTTTCCGGGGCAGCTCTGCAACAATCCTGGCAGATTTAGGAGCGGAGATAACAGTTTTCAAGCGACATGGAGGTTGGCGATCAAGCTCGGTTGCTAAAGGTTACATTGAAAATTCAATTGAACATAAAACCGAAACAGCAAAAAGAATCATGGGACAGAAAGATACGCCAAATATGAAATTAAAAGCAGTTCACGTAGAAGCAGAAGCTACCAGCATCTCCAGTACAAGAAATTTACTTCTTCCGACTCCTACAACTTGCATTTCTCTTAGTGACGAAAAGTTGGATGCCTCTTCTATTCACTTTAATAATTTAAATAATTGTACCTGTAAGATTTAAAATAAATAAATATTTTCATTGTTTCTAACGTTTCATTTTTTACTTTTAGGCACTAGTGCCTAAACAAGTGTCACTTTTATATCATCATCATCATCATGTAGCCATCGTTGTCCACTGCTGAACGCAGGCCTCCTCCATATTTCTCCATGTCTCACGATTTTGGGCCGTCATCATCCAATTTCCAGCAATCCTCTTTACATCATCGGTCCAGCGTGTCGGTGGTCTGCCTCTGCTACGTTTATCTGCTCGAGGTCGCCATTCTAACAATCTTCTAGTCCACCTGTCTTTAGATGTTCTGGCCACATGACCTGCCCATCTCCATTTCATTCGAGTTACGTGTTCCACTATGTCTTTAATTTTGGTTGTTTGTCTGATAGTGTTATTAGGAATTTTGTCTCTTTTAGTTATTCCAAGCATGGCTCTCTCCATGGCTCTCTGGGCTACTCTTAAATTTTCTGCTGACTTTTTCGTTAATGTTAGAGTTTCCGCTCCATACGTAATTACCGGCAAGACGCATTGTTCATAAACTTTCCTCTTCAAGCATATGAGTATATCACTTTTAAAGGTCTCCCGCAGTTTGCCAAAAGCAGCCCAACCCAAACCTATTCTGCGCTGTATCTCGTGTGTTTGGTTGTTTTTTCCGATTTGTATTTCGTGCCCGAGATATTTGTATATATGTGTTTCTTTTATGTCTGCGTCACCTATTCTGATGTTCTGTGTGAGCACTAAGTTTGTCATTATTTGCGTTTTACTCGTATTTATCCGGAGACCGACTTTTAATAAGGCCTGCACTAATTCTTCGAGCATCTGCTTTGAATCTCCGATGTTATGTGAGACAAGGACGATGTTATCTGCGAATAGATGTGTCAACCTTTCACCATCGATATTTATGCCCCTATTCTCCCAAGAGAGTGATTTCATTGCGTATTCAAGGACAGCTGTAAAAACTTTAGGCGAAATAGTATCCCCTTGTCGAACTCCTCTGCCTACCTCAATTTTATCTGTTGTTTCGTGAAGTTTTACAGTTGGTGGCATTACTATATATGTATTCTATAAGCCTTGTATACCTATAATCTACTCTTCCCTGCTCCAATGCTGCTATTATTGTTGTTAATTCTACTGTGTCAAATGCTTTCTGGAAATCAACGAACACCAATGCTAGAGGCCTGTTGTATTCCACAGATTTTTCTATCAAGAATTTAATTACTTGAAGATGATCGTTTGTTCCATAACCTTTCCTAAAGCCTGCCTGTTCTCTTGGTTGATAGAAATCTAGTTTACGTTCGAGACGTTTGGCAATGATTTTGGTAAACAGCTTATACAAGTGACAAAGAAGGCTTATCGGTCTATAATTTTCAAGCTCGATGATATCGCCCTTTTTATGGAGAAGTATCGTTATGGCGTTGTTCCATTGAGACGGGATTATTTCTTTTTCAAGGCATAAATTAAATAAGTCTTTAATCCATTTTAATAGTGTTCCTCCTCCGAGTTTCACAGCCTCAATCACTATGCCGTCCTCGCCCGGGGCTTTGTTATTTTTCATTTCTTTTAAGGAGTTTCTGATCTCTTCTGTAGTTATTTCCGGTATATCCTCTGATCCCTGGTTAACTATCTTTTGCACAGACGTGGTTGACTGTTGTATTTAGATACTAGTGCCTAAAAGAATGTCATTTCGAATCTCAAATAAATATCACAATCTGTCAATTTCGAAACGCTTTCACAAAAATATATTTTATATTTATATAGTTATCTCGTTCTCATCTGTATATCTGTAGCATATTCTTTACTATTATCCCCCCAAAACCTATAAAACCTCCCTTTATTATAACTTTCCCTTCTGCTTGATATTTAGGTCGACCCGGTGACGCCCTCGAGACCTCGAAAATAATCGTTTCGCTTGGTAAACGAACCATCTTGTTCAATGTCTCATTCTCTCGCTGTTCCTTCCAAGCCCGAAAACGATTTTTAATTCCACTTTCGATTTGGGCTTTCTTGCTCCGATGGAGAAAAAGTCATCAGCGGAGTATTGTTGTATTTTTGGGGGATTTTGAATATCAAGTTTTATTTGGTGTTTTTCTTGCGGTTTGGAGATAATTGAAGAAGAGAAAATATGGGGGCGGTATAAAAAAGTTATTTGCTTTTTTTTCGATGTGTTTTAATAGGTTGGTTTTTGAGGGTGTATGGAAAAAGAGATGAACGATTTGTCTGAATTAAAACAGGACTTGTTTTTTGTGGAAATAGAGGGTTTAAACACTTATTTTATTATACACAGTACCCCGAAACTTTGTAGGCTACTGAACTCCAAACTGTCTTTACAAAAGGGAAAACTTTTTATTATTGACATTTTGAGAAAAATAGATTCTTTATAAAAAAATTGCTTTTCTAAAATGGTTAATCCTGTTTATACTTTTCAAAATTTCCATACCGAAAAAAATAAAAAAAAAACATAAAAATTTGGTTAAAGTCCTAAAAATCAAACTATGGTAATATAATGTGGTTTTCATTCTCTGATAAATTCAACCATATTTTCATGTTTTTCTTAATTTTCTCTAAAATGTATGGACATGGAAAATATAAACGGGATTAACCGCTTTAGAACAAGCTAAAATTTTTATGAAGAATGCATTTTCTCAAAGTGTCAATTTTTTGTAATTCACATTAAAATTTAAGTATTAATCTCTAGTTTTAACATGTTTACTTTATTTTCAGCTTGCAGACAGATGGAATTTGGTGTTCAAGCAATTTTCGGTCCGTCAGACCCAATTTTAGGAGCCCATATACAGAGCATATGCGAAGGTTAGTTTTGTAAATAAATATATAATTAAATATAGGTAATTAAGTTGATTAATAAACAATTATTAAAAAACATTTTTAAAGAAAACTCTTCAGAACATGAAATTTCTAAATATAAGTCTTTAATTATCTTTGTCTAAATATCTAAATATACAGGATGAGTCTTATATAAGTGCAAATATTTTCAGGGTTAATATATCTCGGTTTTCTTTCTTGTAAATTTAATCTACTACATATGTTGCCATATTATGAATATATTAAGTTTTTTAACTAAAAACTAAAAAAAAATCAAAAAATTCCAAATTTTAATTTTTTTCGCGAAAAAAAAACTCATAAACATATGTTTCTGGGGTCGAAATGTACTACTCCTAAAATATTTGCACTTATTTAAGACTCGTCCTGTATATCTAACTCTTTTATGTCTTGGAAAAGTGGATATACAGGGTGGTCTATTTGCAAGTGCAAGGAAGATTTCTAAGTGCAAGGAAGTCCAATGTCGTCGTTGTTCTCAGAGATATAATAAAAATTAAAATACTTATAATATTTTCGTATTTCTTCTTAAACCTCAAGGATAACAGGTTAAGTCCTTGAAGGAAAATTTAGTTTATTTAACAGGGTATTATTTAAGTTGTAACGAACATTTAGGAAAATGAAGGTAAGTATTAATAAAATTAAATTCACTCCAGTTTTTAACAATCTCTTTGAATAAGTATTGTGTTTTTAACCAAAGTTTCAACAAACAAGAAATATAATCGTGGCAATCGTATACTATAGTAGAATTTTATGCTGAATCCAACTTTATACAGAAATCCAATTTAAAAAGCATTTTACCAAACCTCACACTTTATCATTACTTTCATTGAAATGCTCTGCATACAACAAAATATTTTTATGATATGTATTTTTATAAACTATACAACATTTATTGGACTCGACAATATTGGACTTCCTCGCACGAATGGGCCACTCTGTGTATTAAAATTATGTAACGTTTTTTTAATAGCGTTGGATGTTCCTCATATCGAAGCCAGAATCGACTTTGAACCAATGTCAAAAAAGCTAAGCATCAATTTGCACCCAAGCCAAGAAAATATGAACAAAGCTTTCAAAGACCTGATGGCGTTTTTGAATTGGACCAAAGTGGCCATCATTTATGAAGAAGATTATGGTAAGTATTTTTAATTTTGAAAATTAATATTAATATTCTCTACTTTCTATACCTTATGGTTGCTTTTTTTCTTGTTTATTGTAGATTTTTTATCATTATTGTGCATTTTAATGTTGTTTATTTATTACAGGTTTGTTCAAATTACAAGAACTAGTAAAGGCCCCAGCTGCTATCAAAACTGAAATGTACATTCGTCAAGCAACACCCAGTACATACAGGCAGGTACTACGTGAAGTACGACAGAAAGACATTTTCAAATTGATCATTGATACGAACCCTAGAAATATACAGCAGCTTTTCAGAGCGGTGAGTACGAACTTAATGAAAATATACAAAAAATAGAAATAAAATTATACCTATTAAGGCTGACACCAAAAAATTCTTATTATTTCTTTAAAAATACTTATTTCGCACTTTCAAAACTTTTATTTGAAAGCAGAATTTTAATTTAAGCGATCTAGCCTTGCTTGACAATTTTCTTTATAACATTTTAAAGAAATTAGAGTGACGTCAGTCCGGTGTGAGTGAGGAGATTAGATTTTTTTCTCTGTTAACGAGAAAACTTGAAGCCCGTTGTTTTAGTCGCCTCGTTTTATTTTATTTTATTTTTTTTTTGAACAAAATTGGATTATTCAAGCTTTTACTGATACTGAAATTTGTCTGGAGTGTTTTTAATAAGAAATAACACAGAAAAAACAGAGCAATAAAAAGAGAGACAGAAGAAACGTGTTTTTTTTATTTGAATAAATAAAACTGTTGATTGAAAGAATTGGGAAGATAGGCAACCTAATGGACAAATTTGTGACATGGCTGATTTTATTTCCCCTTACGTCTCAAGTGCTGTACGGTGGAGCTTTTACTCGTTCTGTGGCCAACGCATAAAACACTCATTTTCTCTAATTCGGCTAGCAAAGACATATCGAAGAAATGGTGGTGGTGGCGGTGGTGGTCGATTTTTCAACCAGAGACTGTTAAAGCAAATAGATAATATGTAATGATCTAATGTAGATAATGTATAAACTGTATGTATCATCCAATGTAAGAAAAAAGAGTTTTGCTCAAAAATATGCCCATATCAAGCAAATCAGAGTTTGTTTTTTGAGAAACTCGCATCCTATGAGAAATGATCGAAAATATATAGGATATGTTAACGATTTTCGAAAATATCATCCGAACCGTAAATTTTGTGCACTAAATAAAAAGAAACAAACGTCACAGATACATTTGTTTTGTTTATATATTTTTAAATTCTTATCGCACGAAATTTGCATAGAAAATGCTTAGACGACAATTATTACCTATATGATACACAGCGAACTCAGTGTCACCAATGCTCACTGGTCGAATATTCAACAGCTACGTTAACTTTTTGCGCCAATTCGGCCAACGTATAAATGGTTGATTAAATGACCAAGGCGCGCATATATATGGAAATAAGCATAGCAAACAAAATGAGCGATAATATACTTCCACGCAACTGATTAGTTGGTTAAATTAACCTAACCTAACCTAATCCAACCTATAAAGGGGTAATTCAAGTAAATTTTTTGACTTGGTTGTAAGTTTTAAGAAGTTTCTTCGAGTGTCTTAATGGAGAAGTTAATCTAGACATCATAGAGAGAGAGAGAACCACAATAGATCTTAAATAGTTATTTTTTATACAAGACGATAAAATGGTATTTGAGTGAGTTAATTTCTGCAGACGATAATGAAATTTTATCGTCGTGTATAAAACAATATTTTTTCCATAGCGAGTTACGTTTAAAAAAATATTCAGAAAATGATTATTTCAAGGAATTTATTACGAGTAGAAAGAATATTGTGCTGGCTTGGCGTTGGTTTCTACGTAAATTGACAAATAAATAAAGCTGTCTCTTTAGTTGTCAGTTTTGAGTCAATATTTTTTAATTCTTTTTCGTGTCGATTGCTGATTGAATTGGAGCCAGAAATTGTTCAAAGCGAAATAAGTAAATTAACAACAGATATTCAGGCTGAGGCGACAAACGCCATATCCAAACTACTTCCATATAAATCTCGAATAACTTATGAAAAGGAATACCAAAATTTTCAAAAATAGAAGCAATTAAAAAACGTGCGAGAAAAAATAAAATTTTTAACCTATCCTCGCTGTTAAAGTATCATTTAATCTACCCTTGCGGGTAAAGTACTATTTATCTACTATTTTTGATAGATAATATAAGGCAAATTTTAAAATTTTGCTATGAAAAAACAGTCAATCTATCTAAATATTTTTCTTTGTCTTTTTAAAAGCGTTTTTATTTCAACTTATAACAACAAAAGAATCTAATAATTTCCTCGCCGATGCAGAAGACACCGCCATCTCTCCAACTAAGCTCCTTAAAAACCGTTTTATTTTTAGAAGAAAACTGCGCGGAAAATCTTAGAGATTTTCCGATGACATTCGCAATAACTCTTCCCTTGCGAAAAATACAAAATTGTAAAGGTATAAATAGTTGCCGAAGCGTACTGTTTCGAGCAAATAACAATAGGAACGTTCACTATTGTGTCATGCGTCTTTACCAGCTCTAAAATTGCGGAAATTACTCCTCACACTGCTTGTTTTTCCTGTTAGAGCGTTTATAGAGACGTATTACTTAGTTTTTGAAATTGTTTTACGCCAATTTATGATGTTAGAAAGTGAATTCTACAAATATTTGTAATTTTATGACATTGAGAGGTTTCACTATAATTGAGGATAATTATATTGACTTGGCAATTGCACGGCACTATGATTAAAAAAGAATAATCTGCCATTTCAACAAAATATATTATTATTATTATATTTGCTTTTATTAATAGGAACTTTTTGTTTTATTTTTATCTGTAGAATCACCCACCAAAGTTAGATACACTATTTCTTTGACACACTGTATATTTTTTTATTACTCTATGTCAAAATATCTCACACAATGATTTAAAATGTTTTTTGTTTTACTAATAAAGACCTATTCCAATTTATCCCCGTTTTCGAAGTTATTTACCTTTCAGTGAATAACTTAATGATCTGGTTTAGGGTCGGGTCTTTGTTCATCTCGTGCAGTCAATCGAATATTTTTAATTACAGGTCGATACCGCCAGGGAGTACAATCGAGTCAGAGACAACATCCCTTTGTCAGATGACAGTTCATTAACGAATTTGCAGTTTTTAATTAAGCCAGATGATTAAAGAGTGTTCTAGCGATAGATTACTTTTTTTAAGTTTCTTAGAAAATACGATTATTTTAAAAATTTCACAATAATATATGATTTTTGGATATAGGGTGTAAAAAATAGTGTATCTTTTAAAAAAATTAAAAGTTACCTCTGGATATTTTGTCGATTTCGGCCTCCTTGATGAGATAAACGAACTTTTATTAATTTGCCTTGATCCAGGTCTAATAGCAGCCCCTAAAAAAAAATTAATATCATTAAACTCATTGATCACTCACCAAAAATATGAAAAAAAGTTCGTATAAAGATGGGTATGGAAATGCATAGTTTTAGAGTTACAGGATGTTAAAACTCTTTGAAATTAGGTTTTTTGTAATTATTTTAAATACCATTATTTTTTATTTGAAATTGCTTTAGGTTGGACTAATATATAGTAATAAAAACTAATAGTAGTAATTTTTAATAATAAATTAGGTAAAATATATAATTTAATAATTCTATTTTTATTTAAATTTTATTAATTGTGATTAATGAAATTGCGTTTTTCTCATCAAGGAGGCTGAATTCGACAAAATATCAACAGATAACTTTTAATTGACATTAAACGGCCTAAACAATTTTGGTATCAAAAAAAAGTCAGTGCCGCACATGTTTTTTTTTTTTTTTAAAAGATCTAGTAACCCATATGCACGTCCCTGATGAATTTATTGACACTTTTTTAGCATTAAAATATATAGCACTTATATTAACTTTTATCCTCAAAATTTCATTAGAATCGCTAAAAGTACTTCGAAGAAAATTATAAAAAATCAAAAGATTATTAACACTTTAGCACCCTGTAGCTGCGAAACAAAGCAGAATCGGACCTATGTTGATATGAAAAATAAAGTTTATTTCTACGTGAGGAATCTCCCCACGAGAGATGGAACATATTTTTTGAAACACCCTGTATAACTTCAGAAGTTTTATTTACTACTAGCTAAAAACTAAATCTTTTTTAGTTTTTCTTTTATTATTTACAAGAAATCTTTTGTTATAGGAGAGGCCATACGTTATGATCAAGCAGGATGGAAATTTTACAGGCAACGCACGGTATGAGGGATTCTGCATTGACCTACTGAAATGGATAGCCAACCAGGTTGGATTTCAGTATTCAATCCAACTGGTACCTGATCGTACTTACGGCGTGTACAATCATGACACCAAGCAATGGAATGGAATTGTGCGAGAACTTATTGACAAGGTAACAGGAAAACATTAGGTTAGGTTAGCCAACTTAGCCAACTTAGCCAACTACAACTATATACAGGGTCCGGCAATAGTGCGTCAGGCATCTGTAGCTCATAGAATAAAAAACTTGAGAATTTTGTTAAAGTGCAAACCTAAAGTATGTACCAGGATGTATTTCAGGAAAATATTTTAACTTCTATAGGGTGGCTCAAAAAAATGTGAGTGGACCTGGATGATTTTTTTTAAATGGAACACCCTGTATATAATTGCATTTTTGGCTTCCTTTCAGCTCACTTTACATAACCCTAAGATATGAATAAATATATTTCGATAGTTTCAGAGATATTAAAAAATAAATAAAAAATATGTATTTTTCAGCCCTTCTTAAAAAAATTATTAAAAATAGAAGAACTGTTCTGAAATCAAAACTATATTAGGTATTTACTTTAGATAGTCTGTTCTTAGTTTGTTATAAATATGGTAATCGTATATCATACAGGATGTTCAATATTCTACGCCAAACTTTCTAAAATATAATTTTTCTTTGTTATTTTAAATGGAACACCCTGCATATTATTTTTTTATTAGATGGAGAGTTAAAAAATGAACATTTTTTGTATTTAGAGTATTTCAAAATTTTTGAACGGTTTCGCGAATACGCAGTATTATTTCATATGGCGCTTTTCAGTAAATACGAAAAAAAATCATTGGGTGGCTTTGATAAAAATTTACTGTGGAAAATGCCATATGAAATATAAAACCGCAAATATCTGCGAAACCGTTAAAAATTTTGAAATACCTTAAATACAAAAAATGTTCATTTTTTAAGTCTCCGTCTATTAAAAAAATAATATACAGGGTGTTCCATTTAAAAAAACGAGGAAAAATTATTTTATATTTTAGAA